CATTTTCCATTTTCTTTTCCATTTGATTCTCCATTATAGGGGTCTAAACCCTAATCCCTAAACCCTAAACCCTAAATAGTAGTTTCCATTTTCTTTTCCATTATCCCATTATAACCCCTATATAACCCTATATAACCCTAATATATACCCTATTATATCATAAACCATAACCCTAAACCCTAAACCCTAAACCCTAAACCCTAACCCCAGCCAAATGGGCTTTCTGTCAACCCGTGTCTCGGCTCTCAGGCGGCCTGCCTGCGGTCACATCTGACTTCCGCAAGTACATGGCTGCCCGGCCAAGGTTATATAATGACTATATAAGGGTTATATATGATAATGACTATATAAGGGTTTAGGGTTTAGGGTTTAGGGTTTAAGGGTTATATATGATAATGGGATTAAGGGTCCCTATTAGGGGTCCCTCCTAAAGTCCCTAGAATTGAGTGGCTTTCTTCCCGTTTTCGCTAATCATTTTTCTCTTTGCAGTTTGCATCCCTCTCCATTGATGCATGATGGAGGGTGTTTCGAAAACAGATGTACAGAAGGAATTTAGGGCAGAGGTTAGGGTGGTCCTTCAATCGCAGATGCTTTAGAGAACTGCGATGGAATCCTAGCCGAAGAAGTCCTCAACTCCCCCCCCCACCCCAGCATCCCCCTACTATGTCATGGCACTATACTTTGGGAAGATGCATTATTAAGGGGATGGAAGTTGTAACCAGGCTTAGGGGGCTTCTTATTCGAGCACCACTGCCTGAGTCCAATTGTTTCCAAAGTGACGGGCATGCAGCTTCTGCGGCACCGAGGCTTGCATCAGAGTGAGTTCTAGTTCTATATGAGCCATAGTCTAAACTCCTTAAAGGGGGTTCTTTTGGGGATAATATAGGGGACTACTATAGGGGATATTAAGGGGGATACTAGGAGTTTAGACTATAGCTCATATGGTTGTGTTACAGTCCTTCCCCCATGACCTGGTTGAGCCGAATTTGCCTGGGAGACTCTGACATGAAGTCTGATCGGATTTGCTCCTGGCCCCGCAGAGTTCCTGAACTTGACATAGCTACTGCACATGGGCGGCTCCAACATATCCTTTGCTCAATCCTCACGTTCTGTGCCAATTGCGTTGCCAGTATTTGCTCGGCTGAGTGGCTCTGAGACTCTACTGTTTATATTGGCTTTGCGTTTTAAAGCCTGCTATCTGGGTTCCTGTTAAGGAACTTAAGCCTACCATAATACGGAGATATGTAGTACACGATGTGGTTTCAGTTCCTTAACAGCAGCCCAGTAAACGCAGTGAGGGGCGGCTGGCCCAGGATTATTCCAAGTACATGGGAATCTCGCACCAGTACACCAACAAGGACACATCCAGCTTTGAGCGCCAAACGAGTACCCTGAAGCCCCAAGGCTCCACCCCTAACTTTCATGACTTGTGAGCTGTTCGTGGGTTATCCTCACAGCTCAAGATGCCGGGAGTTCTGTCACGTTCCTGTCATGAGTGTCTCCTGGGGGGATGGGAGATCGGCAAAAAAATGATATGAAACTCTGTCTGAACCTAGACGCCTACCTGCAAAGAGGACTGGATGAGCGAGTGGCAGAAGTTCCAGCAGGAGGGTAGCCAGGATCAGCAGGCCCACATGACTTTCATCCATTTGCAGCGGTCTGCTGAAGTATTGCTGCCGTTTTGACTGTAGTGCCTTAACTGCAGCGTTGTTGGCTAGCTTGACAAAGGACCTTCCACCCATGCGTGATTGGATGGTATTCTCAAGAGGATCGGATGTCTCACAGGGAGAGCTTTGAGAAATACATCGCGGTGCGTTGCCTTGGGAGCAATGATTTCCGGTTCATGCCATCCACTTGATACAGCCGCCTAAAATACTTGCTGACTTTGCAAGGAGCTGATAGGATAGCTGGCCCGATAGCTAATATACATGAAATATACATATACAACAGTCGGGAAAACTTTTTTGACCCTAGAAACGGTATATGTGAATGCGATTGCGCTTAAGCTTAGGTTCCTTCCCTGCACTCGTGCTTAAGCAGGTCCAACACCCCCAATCGCAAGACCAAGAGCCCAGAGAAGCAACATCTGCAAGGATTCCACAAACAGGAGGCTCACCTTAACACACTCCAATAAGCCTGAATATCTGAAGACTCATAGTTCAATGCTTCGTGCAGGTCCCGTACTCTCCCAAGGACTGCAAGACGGAGGCAGAGCTTGATGCATGGCTCGTCCGGCTTGTTTGGGTTTCAAGCTCTGCGAGGCATAGCAGTAACAGCAATCACGCAGCTGCCATTACTACCGCTCCTTCTTCTCGTAGTCGTCGGGATCCTCCTCCCCCTCCTCGTCCTGCTCCTCGCTGCCTCCCCCTTTGCATAGAAGAAGTACAACTAAAGGGAGGAGTAGCTGATGTTGTAGGTATAGGTATAGACAGTAGGAGCAGCAGTGATCATAGCACTAGGAATAGAAGCAGTAGGAGAAGACGTGGTAGAACTAGCAGTAGGCGCACGAGAAAGAAGAAGTGGTAGCAATGCAGCGACTGCCACCGTTGCCGTCACCATCAGAATGGTTGGAGCATACATGAAACATCACAAACACCGTAGTTGTGGTGGCGGCGGTGGTGGTGGTGGCGGCGGTGGCGGTGGTGGTAATAGCAGTGGTGGTAATAGCAGCAGCAGCAGCAGCAGCAGCAGCAGCAGCAGCTGTAGTAGTCATGTAGTCCTCCTTGTCGTAGCTGTTGCGCGCTGCAGTAAGCGTGGTAACGGTAGACGCGAGCACACAACTGGTAAAGCAATGCGACTTGCCTCCCTGTGTCAAATCCTCATCCGCAGATTGCAGCTCCCCTTAGACACGGTACAGACGCGAGGTTTGCCTCAGCCGCCGTTCAGTCCTTGTGAACGTAGCCGCATTTGGGGATTGTCCTAAATTACTGTCAATACGGGGTCCTATATTTGGGTTCGTATTATAATACGGGGCCCTATATAAGTTTCCCCCATTTTGGGAACAGTGATTTAGGGAAATTTCCATTTTTTCTCGGGCGGACCCGAACACGCCTAGACCTCGCCATGGCGTTGTAGGGTGAAGTGGCAGGCGTGACAAGCAGAAGAAGATCGCCCAGACCTGGATTCCCACAATGTACCAGGCGAGGGAATATCCGAAGCCTTGCTGCGTGACGGATGTATTCACGGCAGTCGTCTCAAGCTCTATCGCTGTCTTGTTTCTCTCCTGGCCCCATTTGCACCCCATTTGCATGCAGTCAGGTGTACAGTTTCAAGGCGCTAGAATTCGCTAGAAAGCTCCACACTGTCTGCGTACATGATCTAAGAGATTCCTAATTTTGAGGACCTCCCATTGAGATACAGCCAATCGGTGTCCCTGGAGGAGCCAACCCTGTCCAGCATTGACAAGGAGCCTCCCAGGGCGAGCGCGTGAGTCAGAAATCTCACAAGTGACAAGGCAGAGCGTATGAGCTATAGTCTAAACTCTTTAAAGGGTGGTTATATAGGGGATTATATGGAGGACTACCATAGGGGTTGTTAAGGGAGATGCTAGGAGGACTCTAGCTCATATAGTATGAGAATCGAGATGCAGTTTGGGTTCTAGCTTATGTGACATATGCTGTGGCCATGTTCCTTGCTTGGCTCTGCTGGGTTGCTGTTAAGGGACTTAATTTAAATTACTATGTTGGGGAAACCTTATTAATAACTATATATACCCATCATGGTAACTTAATTTCAGTTCCTTAACAGCATTCCAGTGTGGGGTGCTCTTCAAAGCATTTTTTGTCACACAGGCATAGAGGGAGTGTCAACCCATCAGACCATAGGCTCATATGGGAGATTCCTACAACTAGGGGTACCTTTCAAGGGGAACATAGGGTTAGATATAGGGGTATAGGATATGGGATGGTTTAGGGTTTCCCAAAATTAGAGGTTCCTTTTTTGGGGGTCCACATAATAAAGGAATCTGGCATATTAGGTTAGCCTGAAGCATGGTCCAACTGGGGTTCCGCATCCACTTCACGAGAATGTAGCAGCAACTATTCAAGCTCAATCTCGTAGGTGTAACGCGAGCAGCTAGAGAGGTTCTTCTTTTGCAGACTTTGGACATTTCATGGTTGGGTTTTTTAGATCGGTCGTCCTTTTGATTTCTGGGATCCCTATTCTAGTGCTGCTAAGGATTCTATGATTCTACTCGAATAGGGTTTAGGTTGATACAGGGGTTTCTCAAAATCAAGGGTACTTTTTTTGGGGTCCCCATAATAAGGTTTATAATATTTTGATGCCTATATTGGGATCCCCTTCTTTTGTGAAACTACTATATTCTTGGGGTCATACACGCAGACCTGAGGCAAATGTGCAGATGCAGCATCTGAAGCGGGAGGGCCTGTTAAAGGTGCAAGCATTTTCTCTTCAATGCTCGAAGACTCGAAGACTGCTTCTCCAAAGCAGGACGGTCCATTGCGTCAACCCTGATAGTAAGTTGGATACTGCCCCCACTCAGTAACAGTTGGATAACGATTATGATATGGCTATATATAGCCCTTAATAGGACCCCTAATATAGACTGTCACTGGGTGGGGGCAGTACCCACATAGTGAGTTTAAGGTATCACTCCAAAGGGTGAGAAAATTCGCTTCATCTTCCGAGAAGAACATATTGTAAGACAAGTCCGCAGATGAAAAAGAACTTGGCAAGTAAAATTGACGGTGGGCTTAAATGGCGGTTTATAGCGACTACGTTTTCCACAAGTTACAAAAACGATCGTAGTATACCGACGTCGAATTATGCGGCCCCCACTTTCTGGAACCCTCCAGATACGGACGATTACAAGACTCCATTCCCTCTTTCCTTCAAAAGAGCCGTGGAGCAGTTGCTGACAAGAGCTTAGCACCCGGCCTATGGGGCAAACTTCTTAAACGAGCCGCTGCCGTTTGGGCGGGTAGTGTTAACTGTTGGTTTTCGTGAGTTTCGTTGGAATGGTTGGTAAGTGTATACATCTTGTGGCCATCTGGCACTTGGATCCTAAACCCTCTCTTCGAATATTTTCCCTTACATACTCCCACAAACCTAGGATCTCTTTATATCCAATAGTGGTGCGAGGAGTACAAGGAGAACTTGGACCGCATCAAGCACCCGCAGCAACAGGCACCCTCCTGAAGCACTCGCTATCTGTACAGTAATGTAGTTCCTTTTATAGTGAGACAAGGGGGTTTTATCGGGATATGAAGATTAGGGCTTAGGGATTGGGGTTTAGGGTTCGCAAAGTAGGGGTGGGTTCCTTTTTGGGAAACCCCTTGTTAAAGAGTATAGTATACCGGGGTCTATATTGGGGCCGGTCTTTTGGAAATACCATTTACATGGTGGAAAATGTGGTTTTCTGTAATGGTAACTGGGCTTAAGTCCTTCTACAGCAACCCAGTTATGCCATGTTGCTCGCATTTCGGGGCCTTGCAACGTTTCCACCAGATACTTGAGCGACGGACGGGCACTTCAATCTCGCACGCAGGAGGAAATGCACCCTTGAAGCCTTTCCCTAAACCCTAAACATCCCTAAACCCTAAGCCCCTGAACCCTATACCCTAAACCCTTAGCCCCTAAACCCTAATTAAACCCTAAGCCCTCATAAACCCTAATTATACCCTAGACCCTTTCCTTGGCTCTTGCTACTTGCAGGATATTCTAGGGGGTGTTAAGGATGCTTGCAATGCGCCTTGGTCAGAAGCCCTGCTCCTGTGTGGCTCCCACATTGCAGCTAACCCCGACCCCTGATTAATAAACCCCCTCCCCTCAATGGGGAATTCTAATACTTAGGCCCTTAAAAGGAGGGGGTTTATTAGTCATCGGTCTACATTACCATAACGCAGCTCTCAATGAGAGCACTAGCCCTCAATAACCATGTTCAGTTCAAATCATGTTAGTTTTGATGATATCGTATCACCTAAGCCATAAAGACTGCGAAGATGTAAAACCGGAAAACCCAAGCCTTGTTTACCACGGCCAGGCGCCGGCCGACCCACAGCCTGTTGTGCTCTCCAAGGCAAAGATTCACTGGGTTCGACATTGATTCTTGAGAGCCCAATTTGGCTCTTGCTTACAGAAGTCATTAGAGACCTTCGCCAAGCAGTGCTTCTTAGACGTCCGTAAGAAACACGCAACGTAGTTTCTTGAAACATCATGTTCTTGCTCACAGCATTCATGTGCCTTATTTCTATGGGGAGCATGAAATTGGGAATAAGCCCGGCAAGTTTGTCTTACAGCTTGGCAAGGGATTACTGATGATTTAGGGTTCCTGGTTTCGGATGGGGACTGCAGCATCATGATCCTATACCCGGGCTCGAATGTAAATGGTGTACGTCCTTGATTCTACACAGTTGCTGACGGTTCGCTACTGCGGCCGCTCATATCGCTTAAATCGAAGTTTGAGAGGCAAAAGCAGTTCCAGCATCAGCCACGACGTGTCTGACAGACTATCAGTCGCATTTTGGCTGGTTCTGTCGTAAGGAAGGACTCCAGAATGATTCAACAGCGGTACGAATCATAACAGCAGATGTAGTGCGTAGTTGTAAAAGCATTCAAAGTCTGGCAGTTGGGAAACCTGATAAAGGCAGCGTGGGAATTCAAATCTACTGGATGTGTCAAAGGTCCAGCATTCCACCTAAACGAGTTGTCGCCTGGTACCATGCAAGTGTGACCCGTGCACGGTTCTGCTGCTGCTTCTCCCACTCCTGCTTCTAGTGTACTCCTGCTGCTGCTGCTGCTGCTGCTGCTGCTGCGGCTGCGAGCAGTGTTACCGCCATCATCATCGCTTTTCGTTTTCCTTGACTGCTGCGACTTCTCTTTCGACGACTGTTGCTAACGGCAGCTGCCCCTCCTCCCCTTCCTGATACCTCAGCAACAGCAGTGCCAGGAGGCAGCGCCTGCGCCTGAAGCCCGCCCCCAGCCTCGCCCCTCAGCGGCCGGTGCACGCAGCGCCCAGTCGGCTACGGAGCTTGTGGCCCGGTGCCCTGGTGAATGGCACAACAAAAAGCTGTACCAGGAGCTGATAAGTTAGGAAAATGGCTACCATGCTTGGGAAATCTCCAGTACCTCAGTAAAACTGCTTTCTCCTCATTGCTGATGCGCTACAGTGCCGGTGCAGCTAGCAAAGATTGCGCTTGCAGCCCTGCGCTTGGGTTATTCCACTCCCGAGTGGCTTTCTGTTTAGATCTCCAACTTCTGGGCTCCTTTCTCTTGCGCAGTCAGCCTATGAATCCACGCCTTGAAGAAGAGAAAAGGCTCCAGATTTTTTGGTAGCAAGGCTTCGCAGGGCGTCGTCTTTGCTGTGGTGCAAAATCCTGCATGGTACTAGAGGCCTGGAGGGGTCGGATGGCCCTCATGGTGGAGTCGCTGCCTGTGCAGGACAGAGCTTGACTGAGGTGGATATCACAGTGGTGCCATACGTGACCTAGAACTTGGAAGGGTTGAATAACTAGCAGTGTTTGTGCCCTTGCATGTGTTGAGGCACCTCTAAAATCTAAAAGGGCTTTGGGGTAGTGACCTTGCTGATTGTGCGGGAGGCCTCTGGGAAACACACTGTAGCCATAACCTACCAACTAAAGCAGGAGTTCTATATGAGCTATAGTCTAAACTCCTAGTATCCCTTAATACCCCTATAGTAGTCCCCTATATAACCCGCTTTGAAGGAGTTTAGACTATGGCTCACATAGCCCAGATGTCTACAGCAGGCTTAGAGCCTGGAGTTAAGGTTCAGCTTGTTGAAGCTCAGTATATTAGAATAGGGTTTATATAGGGGTAGTACAAGGGTTATATAGGGATAATGGAAAAGAAAATGGAAACTCCTATAGTATATTGGGGTAATACGGGATAATGGGAAAGAAGCTGGAAGCTACTATAGTATATTTCGAGGAGGAAGGGTTTGCGTGGTCCAGGCACGGGAGTATACTGGAGCATGTGCTGCATCTATGAACGTTTGCAGGACCGTAGTTACCCGCAATGACGGCCCAAGGTTTGTCGATTAGGGCGTCCTTCAACACAATCTTTGGGGTTTTCCATGGGTTTTTCTATCCCTTCTTGATTGTTCCAATGGGATTGCAGTATATTTGGGGTATAGGTGGACCTCAAAATTTGGAAATACCCATGTTCCATTGGCATAGAACTTCAATCCCGGCCAGCCATCAACACATGACACTAAGCGCGGTGCTCTTTCGGCACAGTGCAGGGGGATGCTTGCTAATATATAACCCTTTCATAACCCCTATGTACTCTAAAAATATTGCCCCTGTAAAGATACAATCAAAATAGGGCTAATATAGTAATATATTCCCCCACGCCCCTTCCTCCCACCCCCCCCGTATTCCCGAGGGGCTTAGGGTGTGCGTCGGTTCAACGTCAGTCAGAGGGGCTTGATCGCAGACGAAGGCTCCCTAACATTTGCTTGTAGTATTACGTTTACTATTACTATTGCTATTACTATTACTGTTACTATTACTGTTACTATTACTGTTACTATTATTATAATTATTATTACGATTGTTATGATGACTAGTATGATAATTACTGCGTGTATGAGGTGCCTTGCGTCGTGGACAATGCCTTCACAATCCCCTCGACCAGAGTCTTTTGACAAACAGATATGTTGTGGTGTGCAGATTTGGTGTTCAAGATAGAACCACAATCATGCTATGGCAACACTGGCTTCAGCAGAGTGCGGATAACATCTGTGAGGAGCAGGCTGAGTGGAACACTCTCCTGGACGGCGAGATGAAGGCTGCAAATGTTGCAGAGATTTGCAGAAAGTTTACCATCTCCTCAAAGAAGCTCAGTGCCCCTGGGTACGACATATATCTTGAATTCTACTACTTACACTGCTCAGTCACCTGATTGAGAAAGTCTCTAATAGGCTTGACAGCGGTTGTTGTCATGTTCGAATTCCCGAACGAGAAGGAGGTGTTGCAAGGGTCATGGGCGCTCTGAGCGGAAAAAGATTGCATCATGCTGGGGGTTGCTTGTCACGTCTTGGAGTTTCGGGCCCCTTAAACCCCACTTATCTTTGGTTAGCTTGGACTGAAGGAACGGAAAACAACGTGGAAACTATAACTTGGGGACTGCTAGAAGGATCCATTCCTTCATTCCTAGCTAGCCGAAGGTAACCCTAACCCCAATATAACCCCAATATAACCCTAATATAACCCAATATAACCCTAATATAACCCCAATATAACCCCAATCTAACCCCAATCTAACCCCAAAATTACCCTAATATAGCCCCAAAACAAGCCCAAATCAACCTACGCCTTGGCCTAAAGAAGTCCTTCGATGAGGCTGCCTTCAAGCGGTTGGGGGCAGACAGCAGTGAGGTCCAGCTCGTGGCCCAGGCCGAGAAGGCGCCGGCAACATTCTAGATAACTGCAGGGGTTTCGAGGGTTTAGGGTTTCTAGCGTTTCTATGGTTTAGGGTTTCAGGGTTTCTAGGGATGTATAGGGTTTAGGGTTTCTAGGGTCAGGGTTCTAGGGATGTATGGGGAATGGAGTTTGGGGAAGAATGCAGAGTCAGATAGCCAAGAAAAGGGAGAATGAAACGGGAGCTGTTGGTATCAATGCTATTGGCAAGAATTCGGGTTCGCAGGGCGCATTAGGATGCTAGGGTCTTATATGGGGTGGACGGGCCTACCAAGTGTCAGAAATTGAACAACTGTCTCTGACCCCATTGACATCATTCCTCCAATCCTTCAGTCCGTAAACTCTAAAACGTTTGCGAAGAGATCCGCTGGCTAAGCCCTAAACTCTTCTGCCCAGTAGAGCCCCAAAACGTGTGCTTGCATCTGTATAACCCCAATCTAACCCCAATATAACCCCAATATAACCCCAATATAACCCAATATAATCTAATATAACCCCAAAATAACCCCAATATAACCCCAATATAACCTTAATATAGCCTCAAAATAACCCTAATATAGCCCCAAAATAACTTCATAGGTAACTGCTTTCTATCTGGTGCAGCACTTCAACCCTTGAAGCTTCAAGAAGTGTGCTACTGTTGATGGAGGAACTCTTGCACCACCTTGAGTCCCTAAAGTCCTAGGAATTACAGTACTTTAGGGTCCCTAGGTGGTGCAAGATTTCATCAATCAACTGTAGCATAGTCCGCATGCAGACGAACGCAACAGGTCTGTTCCATGCAAGGCCTGGGCCAACATAGGGTAATATAGGTTTATACAGGGATAATGGCAAAGAAAGTAGAAACTACTATAATGGGCTATATAGGGGTTATATAATATATGACGCTTAAGAAATCCCATATGCAACGTGATGAGCAGTAGGCGGCTCTGCTTAACCCTAAGCCCAAAACCCATGTAAGCCCATCTCTTGTAGGCTCCCGCGTCCCAGAAGTCCTCAAACTTCAGCCGCACGCTGCTGGCTGGGAGCCTCAACTCTGGGGATTTTCGGGAATTTTTGGGTGTATTCAGGCTACGTTTAGGGGGTTCTCTGTGTGTGTGCCTGTTTGGGGTAGTTGTGGGGGCCTCGCAACCCATCAATCAGAGGTATCGGCTCATTCCGTGTACACTATACCTTCGGGATCCTTTAGGCCACTTGTGCTTGTGATCGTTTCGCTCTCTTGCAGACGCGGTGGTTGAGGATGATGGTGTACTACTGGTAGCGTGCATGATGCTCCTTTGCATCATGCAAGTTCTTTCTGTGCTTCTTGGCTGTCTATTGGTGAATATCGCGATGATTGCCGTCGCTTCCCTAGCCAGGGCTATTCCCGCACAAGCCCCACATCACCCAGGCCTCGGGTCTTTAGTAACATGGTTTTTCATGTGATAACAATGCGGAGACGTCCATAATAGACAAAGTCCACAGGACACGCTTGATTGCCTGGTCTTCCCGTGACTTTTTTTTCAAGCCAATGCATTTTGGTTTGATGTGCTTCTTCCAGTTTCAAAGGTCCTCCATGATTCCGCCCTTGTCCAACTTTGAACCCAGGAGTTGAAGAAACGTTTAACTCATAAGCTTAGAACCCAAAGCCCCAAACCCTAAGACCTTAAACCCCTGAGCCCTTTTGAGCCCTAAGCCCTGAGCCCTGACTCCCCAAGTCCCAAATAACCCTATGTAATATCATATTATACTGGGATAATGGAAAAGAAAATGGAAACGACTATAATAGGGTATATATTAGGGTTATATTAGGGTTATATTGGGGTTTATATTGGGAGAATGGAAAATAAAATGGAAACTACTATAATGGATTATATAGGGATTATAGGTATATAATCCCAGCTTCCATTTCATTTTCCATTTTCTTTTCCATTTGATTCTCCATTATTGGGGTAACCCTAAACCCTAAACCCAAGTCCGGCTTTCTGCTGGCCGCTATTGGTTGGCTCCCAGGCCTTCGTGGTTAGCTTTAGCATGCCTGTCGCCGGCATGTACGTGTACCGTGCCATCAAGCAGGCCAGCGGCGCAGAATGGTGCTATTGGGCCCCGACTTTTGCAAATAAATCGTTTTCCTTGCGCTTGCTGCTGAGGATGAACCTTTTCTTTATGCTTGCTGAAGCTATCATGTTTGATTAACAGAAGGGCTAAAAAGGGCGCGGTTCTTCATCCGGTAAGCGATCATCTGATTTTGTGTCCTAATCATTTCTGTATTTTTTCAGGGTGGGGTCCCCATTGTACTTAGCATGCCTCAAGGCATATTGCCAGGACACGCTCAGGTCGGCTTTTTCCTGTGATGCCGCTGCTAGCTTAGAGTCAGTGGGAGCCAGAGTTCACTCCGAATTTCTTAGTTGTTGTCGACAGGGATGCCGCCGTCTCAATGGTGCTCCTCCTTGGTGTTGTAGCCGTCAACATCGCCTTCTCGTCAGCAGGGTCGTTGTAATGTCGGAGAAGGAGAAACCTAGACCCCAAAATATTAGAATCCTTTTTATGGGGACCCCCAAAAAGGTACCCCCAATTTTGGGAAAGCCTTATTTGTGTTGCGTATGGGTACCCATTTCAGTACGTGGCGCAAAGCTTGAAGAGGTGCCGGGGACCGACCTCGATGCACGATTCCTGGCTGATGGTGCGGCACTCAGGAGACTTTGCTGGTTGCTCTTCTAGCACAATACTATGGTATACTGGGGTTATATATAGGGAAAAAAATGGAAACATGGATGCTACTATGGCATAATAGGGTAAATACAGGTGCAGAGCATAGGGACCTCTTCGTGGTCTCATGTTTTCTTCCAGAAAGTTTCATGGAAATCTTGGGGATGAGCAGGCACATCTTTTCACAGGTAGCCGAAGCAATCCAAGTCAACATCTCCGTTGCTCAGGGTCTCGGGGCGGTTCTCCTGCGAGTTGTCCGAGATCCATCCGGCCCTCCAGTTCTAAGTTGAAGTATGTGAAAGCGCGGTGCAGAGATTCAGTGCGTCGTTGTGTAACTGTGGTCATTATCTTCCTGTTGTAGGCGTCACTGTACAAATCGCAGCCAACTTTGCTATCACGACATTGATAGGATGGTTGTCGCTCAAAACTGTGAGCCATCGTCACATATGCTGTAAACCCCAAACCGTCAGCCCTGAACCCGAGGCTAGCATGAAACCCTGAATCTCGACGATGATCCTCAGCCCGCAATAACCCCTTCAGTTGAGCTATAGTCTAAATTACTTAAAAAGGGGTTATATAGGGTATTACATAGGGCAGCATTATAGGGTTTCATGAAGGGGAGACTAGGACTTTAGACTACAGCTCAAATGTTTCCCTTCACCCCACTAAGCATTGCCCAAGCCCGCGAAGTGTGCATTCCCCCACCCAGGTGAAGCGTGAAGTGGACGAGGCGAAGGGCCGCAGGAGCTTGTGGCATTTGGGTTTTGAGATTTAGGGGTTTAGGGTTTAGGGTTTAGGGGTGTGGGATGTAGGGTGTAGGTTGTAGGGTGTGGGTGTTGGGGTCTGAGAGTTGAGGTTTTTGGGGTTGAGGTTGTAGGGCTTGGGGCTTAGTGTTTAGCTGCCAGGGTTCGCGGTTGAGGCTTTTGGAGCTCAGGTTTTTGGTCTGAATATTAACCTTCTGGTAGTTCAGAAGAATTTTGGGGTTGGAAATGGGGCATAGGTCTTGTCTAGCAATGGAGAAGCAGCTTCAGCAATTCACAGGGATTTCAACAGGGAGAAGGCCAGAATATCAAATTTCTTTCTTTGACTTGGTTCCGTCATGAGAATAACCCTCAACCCCTAAACCCTAAACCTAACCATATCCCGGTTTGCCATGTCAAAGAGCCGAGGCTCTTCGAATGTAGGGCCGGGCTATCTACCCGCAACCTTACGACTACCAGGGTGTCTTGCACGAGCGAGGACATATCCAGCCTGACCCTAACTAATTTTGATTTAGGGTTTAAGGTTTAGGGTTATCAGGCTTGCCAGGAGTGTGTGAGGTAAAGCGTTTGTTTTCAAGTATCAGTGCTTGTGAAATTTGAAGGCACAAGCCTTCAGCACGCAGTCTGTTGTGGTCCCATTGCATGGCATGGCTTTTGCATGCAGTTGGTATTGGCAAATCTCGGTTGCTGTTCCGGAACCTGGCATCTGTGACTGCAATGTGGAGATGCGTACTATGTAATTAGTAGGGTTTCCGTCCTATGATAGTTTGAAGTTATTTCCTCTTAAGCGAAACCCCGAGATGTGTAAGTACACTGAGTGCTCGGCACGCTTCTCACAAATCTGATGTGACTCCGATGGACATCTGCTTCAGTCAAAAACTAGCATCACATTTCGCCGAATGAACTTCCATTGCGCGAAGTCAGCAGCTGCAGAATTGTGATTACCTCTTTTTGAAAGGACTCCATTTCCAAGCGTGCTGGCTGCTGCTACTTGATCTCCCCTTTGCAACGGGTGCGCATGACCATTCGCAGGTGACATGGCAGGGCGTCTTCGTGCTTTGGGCACATTGGAGCTTGGTTTCAGCCATGCCCTGAGGGGTTGAAGAGTGGCTGGATGAATCATATGAGCCATAGTCTAAACTCCTTAAAGGGGGATATATAGGGGATTATACAAGGGACTACTATAGGGGTTATTAAGGGGGATACTAGGAGTTTAGACTATAGTTCATATAGGCCACAAAGGGACGAGGTTTCCCCAACAAGCTGTGTCGTTCGGCTTGTTTGCAAATCCCATTGCTTGAGCTAGACTTGAAAGCTGGACCGGGAATTCCACACTAAGACTCAGATACTTCACATGGCTTCCAGTGTTCATATGTTGGGCAAAGCATCTCTGAAAATTGATTATGGCCTGTGAAAGACACGGAGACAGGACGTTCTTTCGCTCCAGAACAACTCTTGCAATTTGTTGATCGAGTTCCGTTCAATGTCAGGCCTGCAAGGCCAACGTAGGCCTTCAACATGCAAGTGCCAAAAACAGCATGCAGCCCAAATATTCACATACATTTGGCCAAACGCGCCACAAGCATGGGAACCTCAAATCCTGTTGGGTTTTCCCATGCCTGTGGAGGTTTTCAGACAGTCTTGTTGGACAGAACAGGGGAAGCCTTTGCTTGCAGTAGTGTTCCTGATCTTCTCGTGGCTGTTGCCGCCACCATGTGCGGCTGCAAGATCTATAGTCCCCCTGAAGTAGATAGGATATGGCTTTGTGTATATTGGAACAAGATCCCTATATACCCCAAATTCTATCTACTTAAGGGGACTATATGCCTTGAACCCTGGATCCTTATCCAACCTCCTAGGCTTTAGGCCTAAGCACTTGGCCGTCTCAGGTCGCGGCCTTCCCCGTGCCCCACTTTTGGCTGGATCGAGGCCACGGCGTCTCACCAGGACTTGAGAAGCTACAGGGGGGAAGTTACAGGCATACATATGGGTATTGGTCTAAATTCCCTATAATACGGGGTCCTATATTTGGGTTCCTATTATAATACGGGGCCCTATATACATTTCCCCCATTTTGGGAACAGTAATTTAGGGAAATCACCATATATACATATCTATATCTATATCCATATATATCTAAATATTGTAAATATGTAGGACTGAACAAGAAACTGGAAGCTGTGAAGTTGTTGATGGGAGGGGAGGGTATGCAGGAATACATGACGGCATGTAGGAATGGAAAAGAAGATGGAAAGTACGATGTTGCTTACAATTCAGGGCTTGCGGTTTAGGGTTTTGGGGTTCGGGGCCCTGTAACATGAGAAAAGCATCTGTTTTAGGGTTGAGCAGTTCATTTTCGGGTCCAACAGCATCCTCTTACGCGAGTTCAGAACTCTGCAGTTGGCCTGGTCTTGGGGTTCCGACAGGCCATATGAGCGTTTGGAGCAGAGATTAGATGCTGGAATCCAGGGCCAAGCGACATTTCATTGAGGAGTTATTGTAGCACTCTATAGAATCCTTAGAGTACGGCGAACACATTTAAATTCAATCTCCAAGTAAGCCCGCAAATGCTTTTGTCCCCAAAAGGGAACCCCGTTTCGAGAAACCACCATCTCAGCTTGTTACTGTTGACTTTAAAAGCCTGCATGAATATCCCTATTAGGTTCAGGGTTTAGGGAATATCAGTATCATTCTATGACACCAGAAGATGGCTGTCTAAAAGGTAGTTTCCATTTTATTTTCCATTATCCCAACATTGCCCCAATATACTAAACTAGTTTTCATTGTATTTTCCATTATCCCAAGATTACCCAATATACTATAGTAGTTTCCAGTGATTCTATCGAACCATGACAATAAGGCTGACGGTACTTAGGACCTCACAGATTCTCAGTGTCGTTCGTAGGAGATTGGGGTTGTTGACGGTTGGGGTTTAGGGTTCAGGGTCAGGGTTTAGGGTTTTAGGGGATTAGGGAGCTGAAGTAGTTGGGTTGAGGGTCCAAGGATTGAGGTTCGAGCTTTAGGTTGAGGATTTAAGGTTTTCGGCATAGGCTCTAATCAATGAGTCAACCTCATAGTCCATATTCTCAATATTATTGTGCTTGCATATTCGCTTGCATATTCTAAAATATGTATTATAAGGGGGAAGAGAGGGCTTGTTGCTACTTGAGAGGGCCATTGGTGTTGATCTTGATGTAGGTGTGGGCTAGGGCAGGGCAGAGTTGCAGGTATCCTCTTTCGAGGACACCGGGGGATCTCAAACTCACAATTTTCAGGATGCCATATGTACCATAATCTAAACTCCTTAAAGAGGGCTATATATAGGGGATTACATAGGGGAAAACTACTACAGGGTTATTAAGGGGGATATTAGGAGTTTGGACTATAGCTCATATGATACCCAGAATGGCTACGGTTTGGTATGTGGGAATATTCTATGTAGAGGTGCGTCATTCCACAACCCTTGAAGATGCAACTGTTATCGTCATTTCTTGGGGGCGTTGTCGTTTAACTTCAGGCACTTGGGGATTTCCCAGAATTAGGGGTACACTTTTTGGGGGTCCCCATAAGAAGGATTGTAGTATTTTGGGGTCTATATTGGGATACCCTAAACCCTAAACCCCTAAGCCCCTAAACCCCTAAACCCTAAACCCTATTGGGATAGCCCTATTTAGGGAAACTAATTCTTCTCAACTCCTATCTTCCCACCGTGGCCGGCAGTTGTGCTCAGACCCTGCGCCTCAGATGCTGCTTCAAACAAGACCTTTGCCTAAAAGGACCCTAAACCCTAAACCTTGGGTACTGCGCCCACCCAGTAACAGTCTATATTCGGGGTCCTATTAAGGGCTATATATATATAATCATATTATAAATATTATCCAACTGTTACTGAGGGGGGGAGTACCCAACCTAAACCCTACCGGTGGAGTTTTGAGCAACCACAGTGTGGCTGCTAGCCAGCATATTGGGATAATGCAAAAGGAAATGGAAACTACTATAGTATATTGGGGTTATATTGGGATAATGGAAAAGAAAATGGAAACTACCATAGCATATTGGAGTTATATCTTTTATGCCAAGAAGAGTAGGAAGTTGCTTGCTACTGCTGATCGTATTTTTTTGAGTTGTCAATGCAAGCAATTGCAATACTCATATGAGAGTGATAGAGGCCAGAGGTCTAGCAATTCTTGGCTAACAGCGAGGCAGTAATACC